TTATAATCTCTTTATTTGAGCACTCCAAATTGCTAGTCACTTCTAAATAGAGATATTAGTCTCAGGCTTTCTACTTGTATTTATTGCCTTTGATGAAAGAGAGGGTGCCAGGAGAGGAAAATGAGTGGAGGCAGAGGAGAGAAATAGGAGAAATTAAGGGAAGGAGGTGGAAAAGGGAACAAAGAGATCGATTAAATCATTTTGCTCACATATCTTTCCTAAGGATGATTACATTTCTCTGGAAAACATCCCCTTCATTCGATATGTTAATATTTAATTAGTTGCTGATCATTAAGTGTTTATTGTCATTGCTAATTTGGACAGGGAAGTGATGGTAAATGTTGTTTCTGATGGGGTGCTGGTGGCAATCTTGCTTGCTGCTGGGAGCATAAGTAGGTTAACAGGGTGGGTGTTTTTCAGTCTCATTGCCTGGCAGCATCTAATCTTCCTTGCACCCAAACTTCGAGCAAACCTCTCGGTGCCTTTTCGTTAGGGGTGTGCAAAGGCCACGGGAGCGTTGTCCGAAAGTCCCGACAAGAGTCTGGGAAAGAGCAGATCTACAGTAAAGGGTTTAGCCTTTTTGCCCTAATGTCGCATTTGTTAGTGTGAGGTGCTGAAAACTCGTTTTCATCATTTGGGCATGTGATATAAAGCCTCAGGATCTGAAATATTACAGTAACCATGGCTACCGGTGACTTATCTGAGGGAGTTTGACTTTTGTTTTGATTTTAAGTGTCTTAATTGTAGTTTAAAAATCAGAATCTGAATGTGTTTTTTACTTTAGGCATGAAACTAAAGGCATTAAATGATTTGCGTTATTAAAATATCTATAATGCTGCCTTTCAAAGGTTCTTAAAGAAGATCCTTAATATTCATCCCCTATGTTCTAAATAAAGTTGCTCTTCAAGCTTTATGTTAGTTCTGCTCTCACCACAAAAAATTTCTTGCAGGCTTGAGCGCTCAGAAGGTGCCTCTCTGGCTATTCTGCAATCCCGAGTCCTTTGTTTCTCCCCAGAAAAGCTGTGGCACCGCGTACTCGATGCATGTGAACACACACACACGCTGCTGCTTTTCCTCCCTCCTCTTTTGTACCCCAGCCATGCCCCGCGGGGTCTTACCTTTAGAGCTTATGTTTACTGTAGGCTGGCTGTTGGAAGCTTGCCCTGCTTAGAAATCTTGCCAACCCCCTTGAGTTTCTCCTGTATGAAAAATTACCAAGCACCACCTGCCCAGAGAGTGGGAAAACGTGGGTGGATATCAGCAAGGATGTTGAACCGGGATGAAGAGCGAGCCTCGCTAGCACCAAACTATCCCTCCGTCAAAGGAGGGCTGTGCTAGAGAAGAAGAGTAGGAAGACGACAGGCAGTTGTGTAGCAAAAGGTTTTTTGTATTTAATTCAATCACTGAAATGTTATAATCTGGCCTGGTATAATTCTCTCCATTTGTACTTGTGCAGTAGTTGCAAACACGCTGAAATACGAACTCATGTTTGGTAAGCCTTTAATTCCAGCTTTGATGTTTTTAATCATCAGTACAGATTTGGTAGAAATGATTCATTAGCTTGAAACGCATCTTGGATGACACGTGATGTTGTGAAGAACTGAGGAGGCAGAGACAGGGGACGATTGTTCTCTGGGACGTTCTTTGTGCCTCATCTGAACTGATCCTTGAAGTATGGCCCTTAAATATCTCTCAGCCCGTCATCAGCTTTAGAGGCCTCTTGGGCGTCCAGCCCTGTGTTCGGATGCCTCCTCGCTGCATGTGTTTCTGGTCAAAAAAAATCAAGCAGTTCTTGGTCAGAAATGTGTCAGCTAAGGATGTCGTCAGCGTGCTTGGGGCAAGGATGAGCACATGGCCAAGCTCCTGCAATAGGTACAGCAGCAGAAGGAGAATTCTGGGCTTGTTTGCCTTCCCTGCCTGCTGTCTGACTGGAACCACTCCCTTAAGCCTCGCTTTAACGATTTCACAAGCCTGCAACGTGCATACGGTTTTGGGTTGCTTTTCCCCAAGCTACGGTCACATACCCCATGCTGAACTCTATCCTGCAGTGACGGGAGAGGATTGAAAGCAATCTGGCTTCAGAGCAGCGGCTTGGAGACAAATCCTCAATCCCATTACTCATTCCCTGGCAGTCCCTTTTTGAAAATCAGGTACCAGTGGTGTTATCGGAGTCTTCGAGGGTGCTGTCCAAAATGGATCGCTCTTCTGAATCAACGTGTCTATTGAATTCCAGCAGCCCCCACCATTCGTGTGATGGATGCAGTTACATGAATATAAAGATGCCTTTCACTGCTGTAGCTATTTCCATATGGAAAGTGGGATTTCTGTTCTGGTAAAGTCACCTCTATACCAATATATTCATGCGAGATGCCCCGATCATGTAAACATTTTCAGATCCCCTTGCAGATCCCTGTAAAGCCTGGGGACGTGCAGTGGAAGTGCTTGATGTGAATGTGATTGCTATGTTTTACATTTTTTCAAAGGATAAATTTGACTGGGTGCAGCCAGACTCACTTGACCCCACTCCGAGCTAGTGTGCTCGGCCCCTGCCAAAGGACACTCCGGCCGCAGAAACCTCCGCAAGGCTCTGCAGCAGGGGAAGGACTTCACCCGGTGCCATCCTTTTGAGGACAAAGACGAAAAAACGAGGAAAATTCGAGAAGCTCTCCAGCCCTGCCTCCATCAGAAAGGGAAGGGGGAAGGAGCGGAATGAACGATTTCTCACTATTGTGTGATGAACGGCTTTTATCTTGAAGGCATGTTCTGAACTGCTGAGGAGTGGATGCAACTCTTCCGAAGTTTGTCTGCAAGGCTGTTTCTTCTGTAACAAATTGTTAAGCAACAAGTACATGGCATGCTCAGATCTCACCTAAGATAGGGACAGCCTCACAAAGGCACTTTCAATGTTCAAGGCTTCCTTTTGTACCTTTTTTTTTTTTTTTTTTTTTTTTTTCCCCTTCTTCCCCATTAGAAAAAATGCAACTGCATAAACACTGCCGGTAATCCAACCGCTGCCTCTCTTCTTCCTCTGTTCCTAATGCAGCGCAAGGAGTGGAAAGCAAGGCCACGCAGCATAATGCATGCGGTGCTGCGGTGTGCCCCGTGGTACGGCAGTCTGGTTTGAGCCAAGCCTGCTTTTATCACAAACCCCTGTTTACTAACCGCGGTGCAAACAGCGCTTTTTACTGGTTTCTCACCTCTCCTCCTCCCGCTTTGTTTTTTTGTAGTCTTTTACTTGATTTCTCATGCTTTGTGTCGATTTTACTTTGCTTCCAGCCTATGTTTCTTCTAAAAATTCTTTTTTTTCTAGACTGAAGAAAACTGGATGTTATCAATGCTTCTCTTACTGTTTGGTTTTGGTTTGTCTTCCCCCCTCCCCCCCGAGGATTGTGTAATCATTGGATCCTTTCATTCTATACCTGTAAATAGACAAAGGAACTAGTACAGGGTGTTTTTCAGGGGTAGCTGTTCACAATTACCTATTGAAATGAATCGCACATGCAAACACGTTTATTCCAGCACAGAAATATCTACCCGCCCAGATTCAGTCCTCCATCTCCTTTAAACTTACACTCTGCTTATTAACAGTGCCTGTAAAAGTTAATTGAGAAAAAGGAAGAAAAGAAGAATGTTTGTTCAGGTAAAGCTTGTTTGAAGAGGCACCCGCACTGGGGGGGTTGTGGCTATAGTGAAAGCAACCCTATATGGGTAAGCCCTTAGGCTAGGAAAAGGAATATTTAAAATTGGCCTGAAAAAAAGGCTGAAGAAAATTTCCCATGAGAAGAATCCTGCAGGAGATCAGGTCTAACGAAGTTCCGGTAAACTCAGGAGTTACCGTCTCCCAGATGAGCCACCGGAGCTGCCTGCATATTTTACCTGTCCGGTGCGAAGCAGAATGGGTTTGCTGGGTGAACAATACTGTGTTCAGAGGCAGGATCGTTTCCTTGCTTATGCTCGATGTTTCCTCCTTTAGACTCCAGTGAATCAAAGCCATTGTTCCAGAGAGGAGAGTAAAATGAGTTTGACGTGATGAATATTCATGCGCTCGCTCCCTCCAATCTCTTTCCCCTTTCGCCATGGGAAGAGCTGGAGACGTTTCGTTTCTTGGCTCGCCGAGTAATGGATAAAGGTCTTGTCAGCAACTGACTTTTTGCTAATCCTTTTTATTATGGGAAGGATGTTGTAGCTGGACTCTGCTCTCTGAACTCAGACTTTTTAGTATGCTTTGACTTGAAGGTGGGAATTTCAGATCTGTGCTACCAGAAGCACAGCTGACCGGTATCAGTCATCCCAGTAGGAACTCTTAGGAATTTTAAGGCGCGTTCCCAAGCCTGAGGAGTTTTGAAACAGACTGCAAAGATTTGATATCTGCATCCTGCAGCATCCCAAAGAGCTCTAGAGCTACTCGCACAAAGCAGCTACCCTCTCAGCGCTCTGATGAACATCACAGATTTCCCCTGACTCGCCTGTAAAGCTTGCAGGAAATTGCAATCCGATAAGTTAAGCAAGTAGCAAGTCCTGTCCATTGTTCCTTATTGTTTGAGGATTGTTTACGTCCCCTTTTTGGTTGTCCCATCTCCCTGACTCTTCTCTGACCTTGCCTACTTGTTTTGTCCATTGTGTGTGGCTTTTGTTGTTGTTTGGGTAGTGAACTCTTGGGGACAGTTGTTAGCAAACGATGGGATTATACAGCCCCTAGCGCACTGGGACCTAGTCTCTGTACTATTTTTTTTTTTTGGCTTTCTTGGTATGTTCTACCTAAATACTACTACTACTACCCTTTAAGTACAGTACTAAGTGCGCTCTCCCACTGTGGACTTGGGAGCGAGTAACACAGCTTTCCAGATTCGGTATGATCTGCTTGGGGTTTTTTATGTCACGCTTCCATAAAATATTTCTTACAATGCAGACACCGAATAGCAGGATGTTTCTGAAAACACAAAACCCATTCTGAATACTGGGCCTTGTGCATGTTTTCTTCCCAGAAGGACTCTGATCTTGATCCTGAAAAGTAGTTGAGCGTTGGATTAAATTTGCAAATGCATTTAGGATTCCATGCTTCCGTTGGTGTGAGTGGACCCCATTTGGTGGGCAGGGCATGCTGGCCCGCTCTCACCTTGCTCAGGAAATCTGCAGCGTAATTGTGGTTATTTCCAGAGGAGCGCAGAGCATCTAATAGTCCGTTCCACTTGTGCAGGGATGCGGCTGATGTTCACCTCCAAATGCAGCGTTCTCACTGACAAGTGCATCTGAGGCCAAGTGAATCTAAGAATGATGCTCTCCGTGCTGGGGAACATGTGTGAGAGGCATTGGGAAAACCAAGGAAATATTTACACTGGGAGGGGACTGTTTACAGTGCAGTTCAAACAGTTGACGTTATTTAGAGCAGCCGGTGCTATGTAATATTTTGCTTTTGCTCTTCTCATGAGGGTCAGGCATAAGGAAAGGATCAAATAGGGCTAGCAGGGCCGTCCTTGGACGGTGCAGAGCATCCCACAGCTGCAGTCAGGATAGGTGGTGAGAAGAATAAGCAACTGTGATTCAGTCTCGTGGTTGAAGTCAAGGTCAGGGTGGACTCCGGGGTAGTGGTAGTGTAGGGACACCAATGTTCGTTGGAGATTTTGGCCCCACCAGCTGGTGTTTGGATGGTCTCCAAAGCCCGTGTGTGCTGCAGCGTGACGGGTTGTCAGTAATGTGAAAGTATAATTTAAAAATTTGGAAGTCTCTTTTGTATTGGGAGAAGGGAATACAACTGAGGTACTGATGTCATGATGTTCTGTGTGGCGATTGAGCTGGGAATTTGCGTTCAAACTGCTTCGTGTTACAGTATCTTCCCCAGCATGCTTTGTAGGTATACCACATATTGTTTTAATTTAAAACCAGCCTGTCTCTCTTGTTCTGTTTTTAGCATGGCTGACAAGAACAGCACCCTGAAATGCACGTTCTCTGCTCCTGGCCACAGCACCACTCTACTGCAGGGACTGGCCTCGCTCCGAGCTCAGGCTCAGCTGCTTGATGTCATCCTCACTATAAATAATGAAGTGTTTCAGGTTCATAAAGTTGTCTTGGCTGCCTGCAGTGACTATTTCAGGTGAGAATCCAGTTGGTGGGATTACCTGCAGGCATGTAGAGGCTCAGAGTCAGTCCCTCTGCATGCAGATGAGCTTGGTTTGACTACAGCCGCTGGGCCAAGACGCAAATTCAAGCCCAGGTCTTGAACACGCCTTGGCAGCATGGGTAGGTGCTCTGTCTGCCGAAGGAAACAGGCTTTTGCCCTGGAGCTGCTTGAGCTGATTTGGAAGTGGCTGCGAGGGCTCTGAAATGAGTCATCCCATTGAACGATGGCGCCCATTGTAAATACACTCATGTTATCTTTAAATACCACTGATCTGTCTACAGTGCTTGCTGTTCACAGGCTGAAGAGTATGAAGCATTTTGTGTGTGCATTCCCCAGACGCCCCAGGGAGATAGGGGAGAATTGTCCCATCTTGTGTGGGTAGCAAACTGAAGCACGGAGATGAGTTCTCTCAGCCAAATTAATGCAGAGTGAGCCAACTGCAGAGCAGGAAATTCAGTCATAAGCGACAAGCGGTATTCATCCATCTTGCCTCTGTCAAACTCTTCTGTAATGGTTCTCTGACTTGGAATGACTTCTCTTTTGAGCTAGGGATCTTTTCTGACAGCACCAGTTGCAGCGTGAAGTGAGGGGCATGCTGGAGGCAACGGGTTATAGGGAAGGTTCAAAACAACCGAGAACTCGACCTGGGTGTTACTCTGGACTGCTGGTCATCGCAAGTAAGGGCTGTTCAGCGGGGTTTGCAATTCCTTGACATGGAGGCTCCTTCGTGATGGGAGCAGACTGGTTTGCTGAGTAGGTAACCACGAGCAAGGGACTTCCGTGTCCTTTGGCGTGTTTCTTGTCTCCCTTTGCCTGTTTCTTCAGCTGCTCTGTTGATGCCTGTCTCACGTACACACGTATTTTCTAGGCTGTTCCCTTCCCTCTCCCTTTGGTAACATAAACCTTCCAAGCTTATCACTCTCCCTAACAGGCATGCAATTAATGACGGAGCTGATCTCCCACCAAATGCTAATAGCACTATTTGTATTCATAAATGCTGTACGCAGTGCCGCTGCTAGTGTGTTTTCACTGTCGAAATATAATTGCTGAGTAGGTTTCTTGTTATAACTTCTGTGGTGCTAAGGAAGGTTGTCCTGGGGAACAATGGCAGAATAATCTGGCTTTTGAAAATGCTCTGGGTTTATGCAGAAGGGGGGAGGGAGGAGAGTGAAATTGAGGCATTTATATAATCAGCATTTTAGAACCATAACACTTTTTAAGGGAATTGCATTCTATTTGATGATTTGTCTTCATCATGGCAACAATAATGCTTTTCTTTTCCTCATGCACGTTCAGCTCTGTATAGCTAATGCACGAGTACACATATGTCTGCGTATCCTCTGGGGCAGGGGATCAGGGCAGCATGCTGTTCTGTGACATGGGATACGCAAGGGGATTTTAGCAGAATGCTCTCATCTGCTATATGGACAAATAATTGCGAACAGTATTCCTGGTCACTCGGTTACAGAAAGCTGATTTCATATGCAGATATTTCCTTATTTAGGTCATTTAGGATTTCTTGGGTTTATGCTGGACGGCAGCAGGTTTTCTAGCCTGGTTTGGACAGGAAACTTGGAACTCCTGTCTTTTGACCACGTTCCCAAGATATTCCTTTATTCCTGTGTTGATGCAGAAGAGCAGGGGCTGTTCAGCGTTTTTCCTGACTAACTTTGCACCTTAGAGTCACTGCAGCTTCCTAAGGCAGCTCTAATGACACTGTGCCTTCACAATGAATTTACCTTTCTGATGGAAAAAAAGAGTAGGTTATCGATGGTGGAAAGAAACGGCCCAAGATGTGCAGGCAGCTGGCAGCAGTTTAACAGCTCTTTTGTATGACAGTCCGTAGCCTGGCTGTGATGTGTGTGCAATGGCAGGGAACGGCAAAACTCCCTGTCACCGTTCTTCCAGCAACCTGTTTTGACTTCAGCTTCCCCAGAATTGCTCTGCTACTGCTTGTTGAATCCTACACAGAGCACAAACCTTTGCCCCCGAGCTACCCATACATAACAAAACCTGCTGAAATTTAATGTAAACGTATAAAAAACCAAATGTGCAGTTATGTCCCCATCACGCCCACAGGC